CTCTCTCTCTCTCTCTCTCTTTCTCTCTCTCTCTCTCCCTCCCTCCCTCTCTCTCTCTCTCTCAGGTTTTTATTTAGTTTGTATTCTTGAAATTTATGTTACAAAGCATGGATTTCTAGTAATGGAAGTTTTCTTTGGGTTACACTGTGGCTATTAACAAATAAGCTGACAGCCTAATAGTCACTTGTCTTTTCCTTTCTGCTTGTTTTGAAGATCTTCCTTCTGGTATGTGACCTCCTCCAGTGCCATTACGATGTATCTCAGTGTGGATTTCTCATTATTAATCCTACTGAGAATTCACTGAGATGGTGTGGATGTGTATATTTCATCACTCTTGGAAAATTCTCAACTACAATGTCTCCAAAGTTTGCACTTGTTCCATTTTCTCCTTGCTCTCCTTGAACTCCAGCTAAACATATGGGGAACTTAAAAACAACCGCCATATCTCTTAACCTCCCTTTCATATTTTCCATCTTTTTTTGGCTCTATGTGTAGCATTTTGGATAGTGTCTCATGACTTAGATCCTAGACTACTAATTATCTCTTTAATTGTGCTATTCTGATGTTTAACATCACTACTGAGATTTTACTATTGGTTATTTAATTTTTCATTTCCACAAATTTAATTTGATTTTCTTTTTCAAATCTGCTATATTTTATATTTCTCATTTCTTTCAGATTGTAAAGCTAGCCTTTTATTTCTTAAAAAGGGTAAGACTGGCTCTTTTATTATCTGTAATCACTATATTTGACATCTATGCAGTTCTGTTTCTGTTCTTTCTTTCCTTTTCACTGTTTTCCCTGCTGTTTTTGTTCATGCTGCTTTGCATTATTGTGCACTTGGTTATTTTAGAAGAATACACTCATTAAAAAATTTGAGGACTCTAAGGACTAGAAGATGCTCTTCTCAAGAGGATTTGCTTTGCTTCTGGGGACATTATCAGTCTGAGAAGGTCTCAATTCAATTCAGTTTGAGGATATTGGAAACATTCAAACTCAGGCTGGGATGCAAATCCACAGGTATTGTTTGTCACCTTTCTTTGTCCTTCGTGCTCAACTCAGAACCAAGAGAGACCTCCTTTTAGCCCATAAGTGGTGGTTTGGTCCCCCTGAACACGGAGTGTATAACCTTTGGATGACCCAGCTTAAGATAAAAGAGGCTTTACTATGTTTCCTACTTTGATGGGCCTAGGACTTTGACGTCCTTTCCCTCTCTTTTCAAAGTCACCAAATATGTACTCCAAATCTGCTTAGGTGGTCCATGCCGGTAGGGCAAAAGTGGATTTATTCCTATGTGCCCTGTTCATACATCATTATTCCTGCCTTTTACTATAATTTTGCCCCAGGACTTCCTCACTGACTCATTTGCTATCCAATAATTTTATAGAGATATTCCCAAATAATTAACCAATATTAAAGTAACTTTTAAAAACATGATATTTTATATGTAATGCTCAACAAATATCTATAACCTGTTTTTGATTATTAATTTCTAAAATTCTTGACATAAAGTCATTGTTTGATGTACTAAGATGTTAGATGTCTAATGGATGATATTTATTATGACTTGGAGTTATTATGACAGTTAAAGACAAAGTAATGAAATTGCTATTTATACAGATAGATTACTAATATGTTGTCACAGCTAAATTTTTAATTTCTCACTTAATGAGAACTGTGTATTTTAGTTAGCTTTTGATGTAATGGTAATAATAGCTATTATAGAGTTGGTGTTTGGCATATGCCAGGCACCTGTATTATCTCATTTAATTATCAAACTCTAGGAGGTAGATCATCATTTTACAGAAGAAAAAAAAAAGGATGAACAGGGAGGTTAAATAACTCAGTTAAGGTCACATTACCAATAAGCAATGAAGATAAGATTAACCCCAAAATTCTGACTCTTGACTCCATGCTCTTAAATAGATGAAATTATTTTGTTTCTGTTAGCTTCTATAGAAGCAATTTTATTAACTTACAGGAAGCCAGTAGACCATGCAGACAATGACAATAACTTTCATACCTTGAAAAATCTAATAAATATAAATTCATGGCTTTACTTTGTCCTGGAAGAGTACTTTGGGACAGAAACAGATTATTCTCTTTAAAATTTAATTATAAATCTCAAGAGACTTTATTTAATATTATAGCCATAATCAGAAAAATGTATAGTAAGGTCACTAAAGTAATGTAAAACTAAATCTTATAATTTCAGGAATGTAAATTATTGATTATCTAACATTGTGTTTTACAATTGAAAAGCAGAGATTTTTATTTTTAAAAAAATCATGATTTATATAAACCCATTCAGGACTTCAAAACCATTGCTTTGCAAAGGAACTCTTATCAAGTGGAATTAAACCCATCCAGGTAAAGAGAGAACTTTCTGAGTCATCAGTTCAAGAAAATGACAGTTACATAAGGGAAGCATGGATGAATTGCTATTAATTCTAGCCAGGAAAAAAATAGTGTTACACATCATGGAAAAGAAGAGTAGTTGCAACAATAGTTTGATTTTTTTATTTATAAATATAGCAACCCCTAGAGGGTTCAAATTCATTAAAAATCATGTGCATGTGTAATAAAAAATGGATTTTTTTCCCAAGGATTTGGCATCTATTAAAAAAATGTTTGGTTCTTTAAAGGATAAGAAAAGGGTAGAGGAAATAGAACACTTCAATCAAATTTTCCAAACCTTTTCCCAAATCCTCAAATACCAAGGTATTTGAATTAGTTCCTGCCATTTGGCTGGTGAGTGAATTGGACTTGTTTTGAAATCAATTGTTGTCAACAGACACATTAATTGCCTAAGAATTGGTCAATAGTTTACTTTCCTTTGCTGAAACACATTAATAAAGTTGAATAAAAGAAGTTGGATTGGAATCATGCTGATTGAATTCATTGTTATTTGTTATCTTTGAAGCTTTATGGGAGCAATTAACCTAGAAGGATGCAGTCAGTCACTTTTTTCCCAGTTGAAATACACATAAACATGAATTTTAAACTTTATTTTTTTGAAAATCCTTCACTACATATACAAATCGCTATTGTATATATTTGTTTTGCCTTTAGTCATGGAACTTTCTATTTTGACCTCATCAGCTTCTAGATGGTACATTTTTTTTAAAATCAAAATAACCACTCAAACAAGACTGGGAATAGAATATGCAGCTTTGTTAAAGACTGTAACATAGAGAATCATACGTCGTTTTAGAAAATACAATACCCAATGTTATTGCTTTTCTAGAAAATAAAAAAGCCACAAAGCTGATACATTTACTTTGAAACACCAACAACCTCAAGTGGATAATTCAAATAATCTGAAAAGATGGTTTGATTGTGCCAACAGTTTTGGAATATTAAGAATATCTAGGTTTGTTGTTGTTGTCTTGGTTTTTGTGTTTGATTTTTTTTAAAAGGAAGTTATCAGAACATTAAATCTATTTTCATTGAAGATGTGTGTGTGTGTGTGTGTGTGTGTGTGTGTGTGTGTGTGTGTGTGTAGCAGTAGGAAAATGGCTTACTGGTGAGTTTCTGTGAGATTTGTCAAAATTACATTGCTATTTTTATGGAGACAAACAGATAACATGTAATATTTATGATGTTAAACTTAAAATTAAGAAGGATGTTTTATGGGTCTAATTTTAATTTTAATTTCCAGTAAGCAACTCTGAAGAACATACATTTTTATTTTTGGTTTTAGTTATGGCTCTAATAGAACAACATAGAAACATAGTCAAGAATCTTCATTTGGCCACTCATCCCCACTACTGGTTTCCAAGAGATATATAGAAGAACACCCAGTCAAATTCACATGGCTTATACCCACAAGGCTTTGGCCCTACAACCCCATGAAACAGGTGGTCTATATCACATACGAGCTTCTAAGACTGCTCCTCCAGACTCGTAGTTGACAAATAAACATTATTGTCTCTTTTCCCCTGTATCCATGACCTCATATTTACCTAGTTACAATATAAAGAGACTCAGGAATAGAAATCCTAGGAAAACCACCCACAGAAAGAAATGTGTCTTTATTCCATGGCTAGAGCAGCTGGTCCAAATTATCCCCAACTTGCCTCTTTTCAATAGATCTTACCCTGTTCCTGCTTAGAATCTTTTGAGATTCTCCTTCATTCTCACACTGACCAATATCCTCAGTATCTTTTGCAGCCACGTTTGATACTCTTCTCCCAATGTCAAATGCAATCTCTGTCTTTTCAAGCCATTACATTTATAGCTGTCAAACAAACACATTTCTATAGCACTGCATAAAAAAGAGACTAGGGAGGGTCAGTAGTGACTGAAGTATTAAATCTCCCAACTCAAAAAAAAAAAAGATAAAGAAGTCAAAAGAAGTTGTTTTAAGGCAGGGAGAGATACAGGTGAAAGTTTTCTTTTAAAATTTTGAGTGTGACATGCTTAGAGAATAAATAGAAAACTACTAGACATTCAGAATGTAAAACAAGAGATAGTTACGGAATATAAATGTGTTGGGGTTTTTTTGTTTGTTTGTTTTTGTTTTTGTTTTTTTAATTTTTAAAGCATTTTCAATTACCATTATTCAGGGCTAGAGAATGCTGATAATCCTGTTATTTTCATAGAGGGCAATCTCAAAAACCTGGCTGACAAAGAGGTACTTACAGGATGCTTGCTTGAACATCACTTCTTCCATCCAGTTCTTTCAGTATTCCAAGTTGTTCCTTACACCAAGGACATTCTTGCAGCTGAAGACTCTCTTTCACTGACTGTGTTTTTTCCTCACCTTTATCAACACAACTCTACAGGCAGCTAGTGCATTTGCTCAAGTGAAGATATGACTCAGTACATTATCAGGCTGCCTATGTGTGGGAAACTAATTTGGGACTGGAGTGCTGAGAACATGTTATATAACTGGACATATTGCCTTTTCATCAGAAAGATTATAGTCAAACGAGCCTACTTTTATCTAGGAAGATGGTGGAAAACAAAGAGATATGGGATTTGGGGAACTTTGGAGACTTTTCCAAATGTAGTTTCAATGAAGGTAGAGGCGTGAGAGAGAGGAAACCATTGAAAGCAAATACAGAATACACTTCAAGTGGTTTCATCCTAAGAAAAAGACCAGGGTTAAGGGGAAAAAAAAGATAATAGGAAGACAACAGGACTGGTGGTAAGTCAGAGCAGACTTACATGGTAGAAGTAGTGGAAGAAGAAGTCAATTGACAGGCACAGATTGAAAATGTAAGAGGAATGCTGGGATACCGGAGAGAGCAAAAAATATCTCTTTGTCCATCTGCATTCAGAGTCAATTTTGGTAGAGACATAGGAATGACAGAGATGGAGATCAAATTACATGACCTTTATTGGTATCAATACTTTGTGGAAAACATAGGCTTAGATGTGGAGAAATGTACATTTGTTGGCACAACTGTTCAACCAACGGCCTTTCCCTCAAAAACAAGTCCCACACTGTAGGGCAGAGAACAGACCTGATTCTGATTCTTGTGAACAGGCGAGGACCCCTTTGGAAGGGACTGAGTGTCTCAGCTCAGTTGCTTTTCCCATTTCACCAATCAGCTATCTCACCCTTCTTTTGAGGGAATGAAGAGAGCGAGGGATCTGAAAAGAGGCCACATGGAAACAGGAGTGGTGACTCAGTGACCTTCGTATCGAGAAAGAGTGAAGGAGAGAAAAAGGGTGAGCATGAGGGAGATGGACAGCCTCATCGATTTTGTTTATAATTCTAAGATTACTCCTAGAGATTAGGTTATGGGATTTGTTAATAGATGTTTTGGGTGTTTTTATTTTTCATTTGTAAGAGAGCTTTTTCAGTTTTTCTGGATTCATCATTTGCTTTGAATAATAAATAATTGCCTCTACATGTTAGATACTATTGCAAATAAGTATAATGGGCAAAGTGGTAAATTTGTGTCTTGTTACATGTAAGCAGAAACACTGAGACACTCATGGAGAGTTGATGTGAGTATATCCGAGTTTTTATTAAATAAGATTTATAAATGGTCTTTGATAGAGACAATGGTTTGATAATCAACTAAACATCAAAACTTAGAAGCTGATAACCAGGAAGGTGTCAAAAAGGCTGATGAACATGCTTAAAATGACTATGATTTTGAACAAATAAAGTTATACATAATTTCTAATAAATTCGGAGGCATACAGCAATGTCAGAAATATGCTATATCTTTAGTCAACTGTAATAGAAGCACCAAAATAGGGAATCGTTGGTAAAATTAATAGCTCAAGTAAAGCAAGCCAATATGACTTTTCAAGGCTGACATTGTTTGATAGATTTTTATGCACACCATGCAGCTGTGATCAAATGCAAAGCATACTCTGTTGCTTTCTGATGGGATTTTGCACAGAGTAGACTCATAAAATCAGTAGACACAAAGCCAATCCTGAGGCTAACCCTTTCTGATACAATTGATGACATTTTTCATTACATGACAGTAAACAAGAATTGGAAACAAAAATACTTGCAGATAATTCAAAAGCAGATTTTCTTTTTTTTTTAATTTTGATTTGGGTTGTATATTGAATGAGTCAGGAATAGCAGATGCTTGGAGGAAAGTGAGGTTACTGATTTCAGACCAGGAGAGTGAGACAAGTTGCTAGTTCCATACTTATTAGTTTCTGAAGTTCTTCTATTTACACTTTCGAAAGCTGCAATTCAAACTTATAATGACATATCGATCACATATATAAAATAAAATAGACTTAAATAATTGACAATGTGGCTAATTCAGTACAATAAATCAACTATTTAAGATTCCTTTAACCTAAACTGATTAAAGTACAAAAAATGAATGCAATCATCAGTATAAAATGCATATTTTAACTGTATTAATTTATGTATATAGTTTCAAAACTCTTAAAAGTTTTAAAAATGATTATCCAGGTGCCAAACTTTCACCACCCTCTTATTCCACTATCATATCACTAGACTTGCAAAGACATGAATTTTCATGAAAATTCATGCTTCTTTATAAATATCTCCTTTAAAATCATTAATTAATGAATGAAAAATCAGAGAATTCTTACTTTCTTTTGAGTACACAGCCAGGTTTTCGTTAACCCCACTAGCTATCTCATATCAACTTTGAAAACAAATTTCAAAGTTAATTTTTATAAAACTTGTAATTCATGGTAACTAAAGCTTAAATGTCTTATATTTTAAGTTGGGTATTATCATTCATTGCAGAATCTCTATTTTTTTATAGTGTCTGTATGTATCTGTGTGTATGAGACAGAACAATCCAAATGAAAGATATAAGAAAATTGGTATGCTTTTGTCAAAGTTTCAGATAATATACTGACAATGCTTTCAGTCTCATAGGTCCCCTTTGCAGAATGCCAATGGACATGATGACAACCACAGTTGTGAGGACTTTACAGCTCTTGGACACACTTACTCTCAGACACAAACCAGATACTTCACCATCTGCTTTGCTTCATGCTGATCACTCACTTTTTAGGGTAGATAACATCCACAGAAACCATGAACAGATCATATATTACATGATAATTATCCTTCTTTAAAGATAACAAAAAGAAATCCATTATTTCACTTACTCTAGAGCATTTGCAATCCAAAAGGTGAGCAATATTTGCCCAACAAAGAAGTAGGTATCAGAACGTACATTTTGAATACTCGCTTTTGAAATCTGGGGAAAATTCACATCCAACAATTTTCCTGAAACTGTCTTTGTTTGTAACACATTAAACAAGCCTAAAGTGGGCAAACATAAATACATTTAAAAGATGTATTAGACTATTCCACAGACACACTGTGGAAAAACCCAGAACAAAAAGCACACTAGAAGTGCTTCTACTGTGTCATTCTATTGCTTTCTGTGACCACAATATATTTTACCTCGAAATATTTTTATGAAGAGAACGTAGAAAAAGCACTGATTCATGATCTCCCCATTTGCCAAATGTAGAATTTTAAGAAGGTAGCCTGAACCACATAACTCTAATAGCAAAGATTTGAGGTTTTGCAGTCTTTCCATTTAGGGACAATTTTGCGATTAACTAGGGTGATTTAGCACCTTGTCATATGTGATTTCTCTACTCATTCTCTCTAACTTCAAAGAGGTCTTGAATTTTGCTCATAAATCACACAACCAACGGCAATGTTTATAGAACAATGCTGCTCCTTTAAAAAAAAATGTCTTCAATCTTCTCTCTCTTAGCCTTTTTAGGGACATGTATACCCACAATCATACAGGTACAGTGACAAAATCCTCTAACAAAAATTACTAATAGCAAGCTCCTCACTTGACTCTGACCATTTTAAGGGCACTAAACATATTTTATTCAAATTTTAGTTGCCCAGCCTAATGGAAAACTCAGTACTTAATAGGTTCGATAATAATTAATAGACTAATCATTAGGACATAATTAATAGGACATAATAAAGAAGTTGAGCATAACCAAAACTAGGAGTTTGTAATCTCCTGGAAGAAACGCATTCATAATCATATGATGTCGTAGCTCCCAAATTAGAATAAAGAAAAACAACCCCTCCATGTTCCACTCATTCCTCTCCAGCTACATCTCCACGGTTCTGCATTTCTTTGTAGTCAAATTTCTGGAAAGGTTTGTCTATAATTTCTGTATGGAGTATGGCGTGTTGGCTTTCCTCCTCTCTGGCCACATCTTGCCAGTTTCTTTTGAAAGCATACTATTTTCCTAATTATTTAACTCATGACCGAGATCTAAATCCTCTTTCCTTTTCACCGTATACGCTCTCTCGTCAATTGACCTATGTCTAAATTTTCAAAAATAGCCTTGACAGGTAACTTACATATTAATAGCTCTAATTCTATCCATTCAACCACCTACTTAATAATATCTCACAAAAACATAAACAAACTCGATATCGTTATCCATCTTCCAACGTTCCAGTGTTACCTAGCTCACATAGTTCAGCCAATAATGAAAAACAGAAAACTAAGAGCTATTCTGTTTAATATATGAAAGGGCAAATTGATAGCATGAGGTTGCTAAGAAGATAGAAGGGAGTAGGATTGCAAGCACAGGGTAAAATTGGCCATAAATGGGAGGGTGGGAAATCCCCTTTATTAGATCATGTTTTGTATCAGAAAAATGCAAAGGTGTCCTCCTAATTGTCTTTATTTTCATTGGAAATTACAACATAAAGTCACCTACTAAAAGTGAGAAGAAAAGTTTGGTTGATATTTGGATGAGAGACCCGAGAAACATGGCGAAATTGCCAAGCAAATTTTAAGGGCCCCTTTGAGGGCACTGATGGTTAATTTATAATGAAACCAATATTTTCTGTGGTTGCAACTTTCTCCAGTAGGGTTCAGTGCCTTGGTTAAGGTGTATGGGTGGGGCGGGGAGAGGGGACAGTTGCATGTTCGCAATCCCTTGTCTGTGATTCCAAATAACTCGAAGTGTGCAAAATGTGCCCCAAACCATTTATTTTTTCAAATTCTTTTGTCTGCAAACCCACGATTTGATATGAGGTCATTTTTAGTCTGTTTATTCAAATTAGAGTGAATTTAATACATTTTGCTACTGCCACAGACCCTTTTAAAGGTGTTACATATTTGTTTAATTCTGAATTATGTTTAGACTCAATGGCTTTTGATAGATTGTAGATTCAGCATAAGCATCCATTTAGATTTGGAATTTTGTCCAAAAGCTTAATTTTTCATAAGTTTTGGCAAGACAAAATCAAGAGTGATGCTACATGTATGCTGGAAATTAAAAGGTAACTTGAGTTGTATATGTAAGTTCTATCCACTACTAATTTTATGAGAAAATAAAGCAAACTTTTGGTACATCCCAGAATGCAATGCAACCAAAACTTTAATTGGAAAAGTGTTTCAAGAGCCAATTTGGCTCAATAAAATTAAATGATTCAAGGTGGCTCAGAAATTCTCTTTTGTGTCCTTATTGAGAATGGATTCAAATAATGGGAGCATATTAGCTTTTGTCACTTAACTGTTTACCTCATGTTCTGATTACTATTCCTGTATGAAATAATAGTGGCTTAAAATAGCAACATTTACCTTATTATCTCTCAAGATATTTCTGGGTTAGGAGAAGGGGTTCAGCTGGGTGGTTCTGGCTTGGGGTTTCTCATGACATTCAGTCAGCTGGAGCTGGAATAGTTGCAGAGGGCGACACAGGGGTGGCATTCAGCTCATGACAACATTCTTAATCTAGTCTGTGGATTAATTGCCATCTATTTAGAAATTCACATCTTCAGCCTCCCAGGTATGTTTTCTGAGTTCTACACCAACATTTTATACATACATATATATATATATATATATATATATATATATATATATATATAATTGCCTGCTCTACATCTCATTTGGATGTCAGAAAGGTCTCTAAACAATCAACTTATTACTGAATTCACTGTAGGTTTCCCTAAATCTGCTCCTCCAGTATTTTTTACCTCAAAAGTGGTATCGTGATTCATCCAGCTGTTTATATGTTCAAGGTTGTTAATCGTTTCATCCACAGACTGTGTAAATAAAAAGATGTCTTACCTCTAGTATGTCTTAAATATCTCACCAATATCCTCAATTCTAACCATTCCCACAGTTAGCACTCTACCCCAATGCGATTATCCACAGAGAGTAAAAGAGAACTTTGCATCTTCAGGGATGTCAGAAGCCTGGTGTCATCATCAACACCCATGCTCTACATCCAACTGAAAGGTAAGTCTTACCTCTACTACCACAGAATGTCTCTCAAGTCTTTCAATTTCCATCAGTTTCCACTGTTGTAGGGTAAGTCACTTTATCTCTCACTGGACAGCTGCAGAGGCCTCCAACTGATCCCCCAGAATCCTCCATTATCCCTTTCGAACCATTCTCCAATTTGCCACCAGAACAAGCTTACAAAACACAGATCTGGTCCTATCACCCACTGCCTAAAATCTTCTAGTTCTTTAAAGATCATATGATCAAGTCCCAAATCTATAATGTGGTTTTTCAGGAAGCGGCCCCCACCTCCTACCTCTCCAGGCTCATCTCCCAAAATGTCCCTACTTGCTCACTGCACTTCAATCATGATTGCTCCTTTCATATGGGCCACTATACATAATATTTCCCTATCCTGGAATGAATCTCCCTCTACTTCACTAAATGAACTGCATGAAATGAACTCCTGCTTAGTTGCAAAACTTTATCCTGAATGCCATTCTGTCAGGCTAACTCTCCCTCAATTATAGGACTAAGTTTATCTCTCCATTTTAGACTTTCATTGTATTCCATGCCTCTTTATATCACAAAAACAATTGTGATCATTATCACTGTATATCATGACATCGGAATCTATTCATTTTAGCATACATTATTTAGAAAAATTACTTCCAGCTAAACGATGGCCTTTGCATTATTAGCACTTGGAATTTTTGTTTGGCATAGATGATCAAGGAGAGCTTCTTTCATGTGTACCTCACTCAGCAGGTCAAAAAGCTGCCTGAGTCTGTCACTGCACACAGAATATGAAGGTTTTCCATGTGATTGCATAAGTATGCTATTTTCACCTCCTTTTACTGCCATGGACCAAAAACAGCACCTATATGTCCCTCAACACACAGCACTCAGTCCTCGTTCTGAGTCTCTACATTTGTTGCCTGTTGCAGGTGTCCCTTCCTCCCTAATCACTCTTCCAGGTGTGATCACGTCTTAGCTGCCCTTGCCAAACCACCAGTATGTTTGTTTGCACCTCTCCTTAGATATCTCAGGACAAGAATCCAGCTCCAGAGGTTAAGACAGGATCGAGTGATGACTACTGGGCTGAGGATGAGAGAAGAGCTCTCCAAAATCCTGTTATCAAAACTTAGCGTGAGGCCATACGTAGTCAAGCAACCAGTGTGAGGTTTGGAAAAGTCTCACATTCTTCCCAGAAACACCGGGCCCATGGATTGACACAGTGGGAGCCAAACTCTGGAAGCAGGATTGTTAAAGCTGGAGGCCAATAAAGGACATTATAAATACTAAGACAAAAGAAGATACTTGAGGTATTTTAGCAAAATTAAGGTACTTTGAGCACAGGGCCTCTAGCTGCTACTCCAGTGATGGTTTTTATTGGGTGTGTTAGTCTGCTCAGGCTGTTGTAACGAAATGCTATAAACTGGGTGGCTTATAAGCAACAAAAATTTATTTCTCACAGTTATAAAGTCTGGAATCCAAGATCAGGGAGCCAGCATGGCAGGGTTCTTGTGAGGGCCCTCTCTGAGGTTTCTCACATGGCAGAAAGAAAAGCTAGCTAGTTCCCTGGCCTCTTCCTATAAGGGCACTCAGCCCATTCATGGAAGCTCAACCCTCATGATCTAATTACCTCTCATAGGTCACATCTTCAAATACTATCACATTGGGGATTACGGCTTCAACATAAGAATTTTAGGAGACGTAAACGTTCAGCCCATTGTACTAGGCAATTATTATTTGTTGAATAAATGAAATTTGAAATACTATGATTCAACCTGATGAGATTTAGATAATAAGAAATAAATAAATAAAACAATGTTTTATGTTAGAGTAAAGGTATTGTGGTGGATTGAATAATGTTCCCCCCAAATTCATGTCCACCTGGAATCTCAAAATGTGATCAAATTTGAGATAGGGTCTTCATAGATGCAATTAGTTAAGGATCTCAACATGAAGTCATCTTGGTTTTAGGATGGGCCCTAAATTCAATGATTGATGTCATTATAAGAAGAAGGGACACAGGAAAGTACATAGAGATTAGTTATGCTGCCACAAACCAAGCAATCCCAGAAAACACCAGGTGCTGGAAGAAGCATTCTGCCCTCGACCTGGGCCCCGCCAAAGCCTTGAGTTCAGACTTCTGGTCTCCAGAACTGCAACAGAATACATTTCTGTTATTTTAAACCTCTGAGTTTGTGGTAATTTGTTACAGCAATGCTAGGAAACTAATATAGATATTTTATTTTCCTCCTAGTTTAATCTTCCAAATCACCCTAGGGAGTAAATACTATTATCCCTATTTTTCAAACATGGAAGCAAGCTCAGGGAAATTAGGTACCTTACCAAGGACCGCCCAGCTGATAAGTGACAGATTCTCCCCTCCAGTCTACAGAATGCATGCAACCTTTGACTTTAGGACTTCTGACCTCCAGAACTGTAAGATAATAGATTTGTTTTGTTTTAAATTACTGTTTGTTGTAATCTGTTTCAGCAATAATACAAAACGAATACAGAGAAATTAAGAAAATTTTTCAATAACCTTCATATAGAAGGTGCACCTGGAACCCAGGCCTCTCTGACACCAAGTTTCATCATGCTTCTCATCTTAGTGGTAGGAAATTCACATCCAGAAAAAATGCAAAAAAAAAAAAATGCATACCTTTATTGTACCTGTAGGAAAAAATCCAGTCTATACCAGGAAAAGGGAATTGCCTGAGCCTACTGAACTGAAATGACACATTCTCTACATGCACTATAAGGGTGAAAAAAAATAAGCCAAATAAATATTTATGAATGATAAACTACCACCTGTTCCTAAATGCAGAGAGAGAAAAAAAAACTCTCATCAAATTTTATTAAGTTTAAATTTTGGCCAGATGTATATCCCCTAGCTGTAGATTCAAATTTGATCATTATCCAAGTCTTTTTCAGTGTCTGCTCTCACAATAGGCTCATTTCCAAAAGCAGATGAAAATTACAGTTCTCCAACTCTGTTTGACTCATCACAAAATATATCTTTTTGCATTTACATTTAAACAGGCAAAAGGTTACTCAAACTCCATTAGATCGTGGTTAGCCTCAAATGACACAAACTTAAGAATTTTTTTCCAATAAATTTTTGTTTCATAGTCATTGTTTTATCTTTATTGTTAAATTCTAGAAAAAAGTGTTCAATGTATAATTTATTTATTTCTGAGTTAAATACTGTATTTTGAAGGAGATATTAAAAACTTAAACAAGAAGACATTTGGATATGTAAGCATATTTCTTATTATCAAGGACGTTTGCCTTATTTTGACTTTCTAATATATATAATACCAACGTGTATATTACTTTTCTAAAAGCAATTTGTACAATGCATGATAGCACATTATGTCTAAGATACTGTACCATATTCTACAGGAGTAATCGAATACATAGCCCCTGTCTTCTAGGAGTTTGATTAGGAAATCAGGGTATATACTCAAGATATGGCTAATAATTAAATCTCTGAATCTAACAAATTCTTAAATGCATTCTACTTCGTCTTTAAGCCATTCTCCACATTGCAGTTAAAACAGGTGATATTAGTAACAGTGTCAGGACAGATATTAGTTATCTTTTTCCTTCTCTTTTTTGGGAAGGTTTGGTAAGGCTACACTGAACAATTGGGCAATATATTTAATCTTATTCAGTGAGCCTGGTTGTCTCATCTTTAACGTCATTATAACAATATGGACTCAGCCTGCTCCCTGCACTTTTCTGTACTGCAGTTTTCTTATATGTAAAATGGGGAAAGTCGTTTTTTCAAATTAACTTAAGTTACTGAGTTGTGGCAGGAGATTCACTTGTAAGACTTATATTAGCTTTCAAGCCAGGGCTACATGATGTTAATTTTAGCCAGTCAGACACTTTTAATCCTCCATTTCAAGTTGAAGTCCATTCTCAAGAAGAGGAACACTGTTAGACTGCGGAACCCCAGTCTTGTTTCATGTTCCTAAATTATGCTCTGGTCATGCACAGAAGGCAGTTACACTTCAGCGTGCAACATCCAAGACCCTCACTTGATCATGGGCCTCTAGGATCAATTAGAATTAGAGCTAAAATATTTCATGTTTTAAATATATAGCAGGGGTGTGTTTGTTCATGTATTTTTTTATATTTGTTATTTTTTCAATAACACCACAAAAGGTAAAGCTTCTTAGCAAATTCTGTCAGTTTGTACTTTTTTTAAAAGTAAATCATTTTAAGCTCAATCGAAAGTAGAACAGTTTAACAACAACAAACGCTCCCTTTTTGTTGGATTCAAAAGGGGAGACATCTCGTTATCAGTTATTTCTAATTCAAGTACCTTCTCCTCACCCCACCAGCTTTCCTACCCTTTCTCCTCTACTGTTTTCCTCAAAGCAGGAAATTATCTTAACAAAAGCAGGAACCATTTCAATATCTGACAAATGTATACAATAACTGAGAAGTTACAGAATAACTCCTCATTTGAGTTAGCTTTTGGACCGGATTTTTCATCACTGCCTGGAGAGAGAATGGCTGCCTGTTAAGCACCTCCATATCTGCCTTTCTGAAGAAAGATAAGCTGTGCTCTGGACTGAAAGATGAGATAACACTCTTGGTTGTGAACAATAAGCTAGGAGCTCTGGCATATTTGCTCAAACAGACACCTTGGGCTTGCTATGACAGGCATGAAACTTCATTAGGCAGAGTGGAGGACCTAATGCAAGACTCTGCTAAATGTAACGTGTTGTGACCTTTCGACCTTAAACACAGGCAGCCTGGGAGACAGCAAAGAAAAAGCTCTTGGCAAATTACCTATAATAACTTACTTAGGGATATGTCTAATTTGGGATGTTTTTTGCTATATTTATTTACTTGGCAAGTCTTTGAATTCAGTAAACGCAGAAGCAGCCAGTCGGCCAGCACATCTGACTTGATGGATTGTCTGTCTACTGTACAGCACTTTGAACGCCAGCATTTTTTGTGAGGCTG